TATATATATATATAAAATATATATAAAATATATATAAAAATATATATATATAAAATATATATATAATAAAATATATATATAAAATATATATATATAAAATATATATATATATATATATATATATATATATTATATTTTTAATATATATATATATTATATATATATTTTATATAAAAAAAAAATATATATATATATGAAATATATATATATATATATATATATAATATATATTATATTTTATATATATAATATTATATATATTTATATAAAAAAATATATATATATATATATGAAATATATATATATATATATATATATATATATATATATATATATATATATATATATATTATATTTATATATATATATATATTATATTTTATATATATATATTATATTTTTATATATATTTTATATATAATATATATATATATATATATATTTATATATATATATATATTTATATATATATATATTATAAATATATTTATATAAATATATATATATTAAATATATATATATATATTATATATATATTTTATTTATATATATTATATATATATATTAATATATAATATATATATATAGTATATATATATATATATATATATATATATATTATATTTTATATATATATATTATATATAATATATTTTATATATATATATAAAATATATATATGTGTGTGTGTGTCTGTCTGTTTGTCTGTCTGTCTGTCTGTCTGTCTGTCTTTCTTTCCTTTGCTGAACCCATTGTCACTGGAAAAATGTTGTTCTCTGTAGTATTTGTTTGTAAGGTTTCTCAAATAGATGCCTTAGCTCCAAAGAAGCAAGTTGGTAAACCTTATGGGCTATCTTTTTTTCTAATGCTATCAATATTGATGCTGTTATTTTTATTATAGACAGTATGATTATTATAATGTCATTGACATTACTAACAGCAATGTAAGATACCAGAAGATATTTAGGAAAATAAAGGAAAAGGGTAAACATGGGAGACTAGCTTATTGTTGACTTAATACTTGTTGAGTCATTTCTGTGTTAATAAATCAAACTCTAAATGGCCATGGCATGTATGTGCATGCAATCCCCACAAGCTTAGTGGTTTTATAAAAAGATAAAAGTAATGAAAGTTTGACTATTTTTGGCAAAGATTTTAGTTGAACCCATTTACAACAGGTGTCCCACATATGAGACACACGGGAAAAAAAAATTGCTGGGCGTCCTGCCGGTGTGAAGCTGGATCAGATCCGTTGCAGGATATGGCCGGTACGGGGACAGATTCCGGGCCAGCCCCGCATACCGATTTTGAAGCCACCTGGAAACTATTATTTTCGGCTTAAAAATATACCCGCCCTAGTGGGTTAACATTTTATTCAAAAGTAATTTTGTTTCTTTTCTAAGTACTGGGAAGGACCAGCAACATAATAATTACATTTTCTCAACAGAAGATGAAGGCATAGATGTGGTGACATTTTTATACCAGTTAACATCTGGAAGTGCTGGCCAAAGCTACGGGTTGAATGTTGCCCGCTTGGCACAGATACCACATTCCATTCTCAGAAGAGCTGCTGAAAAATCAAAACATCTGGAGAATATTTGTAAAATGAGAAGGTTGGTGTTAATTGAGTTAGAAAAAAGTAATTTTATTACTTTTTTTTTCTCCTCTCTTTTATTGTTTTTAGGCAAAATTACTTTATTTGAGGTAGAAATAATTGTTGGAACATTTTTTATTAAAAGAAGAAAAAATTCTTGTATCTAAATATGGAACTTTAGGTTTAATGTGCAAATATAAGCAGAATTCTTGATATCCTTATACTATCTGATATTTCCTGAATTCCTGAAGTATATTCATAATTTGAGCTAGATAGTTCATAATTAGTTACAAATAGTTTTGATCATATCAAGCTAGGAAGGTAAAAAAAAGGATATTTTATTTGATTTAAATAACTAAAAATTACCTTCCAGAAAAGGGAAAGAAATCTTCAAGAAGATTGCATCAGATAATAATGAAAAAACAAGAGAACTTCTTCAAGAACTCAGAAGTGAAGGCATTTAGAAAGTACACACACGAGCACACCAACATAAATAAATGATTATAATAATTCTCAGTTTTTTAAATAGTGATATATATACATTGTCTTCATCTGAAATGTAAAATACATTTGAAGTAATAGTTGCAAAAGGGTTAGGTTTTTTCATTTTTACTATAATGACTAAACTTCTCAAGATTTAAATTTGTATGTTGATACTTAATGGCTTTTGTTAATTAACCAAAAAAAATCAAGGTTGAATTTATGTAATAGTGTGATTTGTGTTTATTCATTTATTAATGCTTTCTTAGTTTTTTATTCAAACTTCACAGTATATTCTTGCAAATGTTCATCCAATACCTTGAATTCAGGACCTTTGATGTTATGACCCTTATCTGTGTATCAGCCGTACTAAGTCCAGAAAAGTAAAATTTTGAAACTGAAGAGGAATTATAAGTGCTTTTCAGAATTGCTGTAATGTGTTTTAAAGGCAAATGTAGAGTGTTTATCAGGTAATTTATTATTTAATATGGAATTACCTATATTGTTATTATAATTTAAGTAAAACAATTATAAGAATCTCCTTTAAGATGTAACACAGGCAATCCAGAAGTGGACTCCTTAGAGTTTATGTGAAAATACTTAGTGTAAGCAATGTGAAAATGGGAAGTAAATGTCTTTTCCTCAATCCTCCAGTACATATATATAATCATAATATTAGTATGAATAATTCAGAAATTACATGAATTTAAAACAATTACTTATTGCAACACAACCACTCTCTCTTTCAATTAGGCGGGCAGTGCTGTCTGAAGAGTGAAGGACAGATATTTGAGATAAAGTACTTGATTTTACCTGTGTAGTGCACCAGTTCCATGACATAAGCTCACAGTAGTAAATTGGAGTATAGAGATGTATTCTCACAGAAGAATTCCCCCAATCCCTTGCTTACTGTTGTCATGGCAGGGGGGAGACTGGGATCCAATGATGGGGATCACCTCTACCTTGGACCTCAGCCTTCAACTCAACTAATTTCATCCCTCACACAGTACTTGTGCCAGAACTATCTCCATCTCTCCAACAAATTGCCCTGTCTACGACAAGGATTAGTCAGACTGGTGAAGTGGACTATGATGCAGTATCAGTACAATGTTACACATAAGTCCTCCACTGATATTGCCAAGATTACTTTCCATAAAAATAACCTCCCCCGAGTTGATTGCATTGCTGGAGAGTCCCTCCCTGTCCGACCACATCAACCTCCCCCATCTCTGTCAGAATTGATTGCATCTAGGCCATTCTGCCATACAGTCATTCCATAGCATAGTGCCCTTTATGTGCCCGACCTGGTCATGATCAATCAAAATGCTCTGCATAGTCACACATGTGTGCCAATTGTGGTAGTTCCCATTATGCATTTTATAGGGGCTGCCCTATCTACAAAGTTTTGAATCTGAAAGTGGTAATTCAAACTTGGCCTCACTATGCATAGCCAGATAGGAATTACATCCACAATGTTTTTCTTTTACTTCCTACTCCAGTGCTGCCCTTTGCTCTGCCCCTCCCAATTCCTGCCAAGATGTTCCAACATCCAACATCCCTCCCTGTATCTCTTCCTCCTTCATCTTACATTTCCACTTCTTCCCCTTCTTCTACTATCAATATTTAGCCTTTCCAAACCAGACACCCCAGTCTTTACCACTGCCCCGACACCTACCTCTCTCCCTCCTTGCTCTCCCCATAGCAATCTAAATGTTCCATCCCATTTTCTCTTACCAAACCTTCACGTTCACCCACTTCTTCCTCTACCCCTCATATGCCTGTCTCCTTTCTTCCACTCATAAGAAAACCTCGGTTTCTCAGACCTACCCAACCAACTCCACTTGAGAAACTCTTGAGGACATTCAAAACTACTTAATCATGACCCAAGATAACATGCCTACACCTTAATTATCCTCTAGTCTCTCTGTTTGTATTCCCTCTACACTCAAAGTAACTGGATTCTCTTCCTTCTGACATTTCTCTTAAAACTTTCGCTAATCCCTACCTTACTTTGGACATCCTTGCAGAATTTGACACTTCTTCCTTTGACAATTCTGCATGAGGTCAGACAGGAAGCTCGCCATTGAGGCTTTTCTCTTTCTACCTATTCCAAAACTACTTCACTCTGCTCTCCTCCCATCTTCTCAAGATGTCTCAGTAACTCCCCCAATATATCTTCCCTCTACACCAAACCATTCCATCTCTACTCCCTCTCTCTCCCTTAATTATATTCCTTTTCCAGTCTGAATCCAGATACTCCTATCTCTACCACTTCCCTGATGCTTAACCTTCTGCCTTCACACACTACCTGTCACACCAAGCAATCTAAACATTCCCACCCTGTCTTCTACCATATCCTCCTCTCCACTTACTTCTCCCTCTGCTCCTCAGACATCTTTCCTTTCTTTTCCTCCTCACAAGAAAACCTTTGTTTCTCACACCCCTTCTACTTGACTCCCCTCAAGAAATTCTTGAAGACATCCACAACTTCCAAAACATGACAAGAGAATACCTCACTCCGTCATACGACCTCTATGCCTATTCGCTATACATTCAGTGTATCTGCTGATATACATCATTCTTCCCCTCAAGTTCCCCCTACCTCTCTTCCTTTCAATCTCCCCCAAATACCCCATCCTCTCCTTCTCCATTTATACCACAATTCTCTTTTCTTTCCCCATTACCCTTACCACTCCCAATAGAAAGTTCACATGACTCCTAGTATCTTTCTTTGGATCTTGCCCCTCCTGACATTCTTCCTGATAACTCATTCTCTGGATTCTTCTACTTCTGCAACTACAATTTCTAGCCTCTTTACCCACATCATTTTTTTATTGCTCTTTTGCAGTTTTCCTCATATAGTGTTACTCTCCCTTCCTCCGACACAGATTCTCTCCATTTGATCTTATCGCCTCATAACCTTAAACCCTTTCCCTTACAATTCCCCATCGTACTCTATTAGCTCTCTCCTCACCATTTTCAATACCATTCTATCCTACTGCACTGTCCAACCTTTGACATCTAATACATTTTATCCTAATTCACTTTTTTTACCCTTTTCCCTACAATACTGCCCGATGTGACATTCAAGGCTTCCTGTATTTTCTGGATCTTTATGTAGGTTCTGTGGTCCAACTTTGCTTTTTAGGTGATTCCCATCAAAACTACTATCATCATTTTTATGTTGATGAGAAGTACTAAATGATACCAAACAATAATTACACATACAATGAAGGATGATATGCAAATGTAGGTTAGAAGAAAAAACATTAGAAAAAAACATTCTTTATATTTAATATGCATCTTCTTCTAACATATATTGTTTCACATATATAAAGCAACAGAATAAAAAAAAATCACATTTTCTATGCAATACTAAGAACCTAATTAGTAAAATCTTAAATCTTAAACTGATAACAAATGAATATTCCATTTTTATAAACCTCCTTAGAACGAAATAAACTATCAAACATGGACTATGACATAAATATGTAAGGCAAATAAAGTCTATTGCTAGGCAGACTAGAGAAACATTGGAATTTTGTGCAATACTTGAGAGTTAAAAGGAGTAAATACAAATACATCATTGTATTTCTGTATCATGTCTCAAAAATTCCACTTCAGACTAATGGCAAATACCATGACAAAGCTTTATCATTAGCATTGCACTTTATAATATCCATGCAGCCACTGAATAAGAATATATATATTCACCTGCTATTGTAGTGTTCATTCACCAATCAGACTGGAAAATATAGCCTTTTTTCAGCAAGTTCCCCGGTGCACACAAGCATTAACTTCTGCCAATGTACACGGAGCTGGCAAGATAAAAGTTTTGTGCAACTCTAGGAAAATGTTTAAAATAAATTACTTGAGAAATCAAAAATTGTACAATAATTCAAAATAATTTACCTTTTTTAGTCCTTAGTGTAATTGATACCAAACATCTACAAGAGCAACTAGGATTGTAGTGTAAGAATGGTGACATCTTCAGAGTGCAACAGATTTATTTTCCAGACAGAATTATCCTCCGATTGCAGGAACTGAGGTCACCTGCACTAATCTTTATTACATCTACATATACAAAAGCACAAATGCACACATGAAAACATACAACACACCATGCCACAACACACCACATGTACTAAAGCATGTGGCATACTCTCACTAACTTTTTCTCTCTCTCTCTCACTCTCACTTTTTCTCTCACTCTATCTTTATCTCTATCTCTATCTCTATCTCTATCTCTATCTCTACTCTCTATCTCCTATCTCTATCCTCCTTCTCTCTCTCTCTCTCCTCTCTCTCTCTCTCTCTCATCTCTCTCTCTCTCCTCTCTTCTCTTCTCTCTCTCTATCTCTCTCCCTCTCTCTCTCTCTCTCATCTCTCTCTCTCACTCTCATTCTCTCACATCTCTCTCTCATCTCCTCTCTCTCACTCTCTCTCTCACTCTCACTCTCACTCTCTCAACTCTCTCTCTCTCTCTCTCTCACTCCACTCTCTCTCTCAACTCTCACTCACTCTCACACCCTCTCTCTCTCTCTCTCACTCTCTCTCTCACTCTCACTCTCTCTCTCCTCTCTCACTCTCTCTCTCCTCTCACTCTCTCTCTCTTCTCTCTCTCTCTCTCTACACACTCTCTCTCACAACTCTCTCTCTCTCTCACACTTCTCCTCTCTCTCACACTCTCTCTCTCTCTCACACTCTCTCTCTCTCTCCTCACACTCTCGACTCTTCTCTCTCTCTCTCTCACTCTCTCTCTCTCTCTCACTCATCTCTCTCTCTCAACTCTCTCTCTCTCTCTCTCTCTCCACTCTCACTCTCTCTCTCTCAACTCTCCTCTCTCTCCACACTCTTCTCTCTCTCTCACTTCTCTCTTCTCTCTCTCACTCTCTCTCACCTCTCTCTCTCACTCTCTCTCTCTCTCTCAACTCTCTCTCTCTCTCTCTCACACT